CAATGTCGATGAAATGCGACGTCGCTGAAATCGTGTCGATAAAAACATTGTCAGTGATATCAAGATAATCCAGTAGCGTGACGACAGTAGGAAAGTGATACCGCTCTCAATCACACTTGGCGTAGAAGAAGCCAAGAGAGATTTCATCTTCACCGATTTACGCGGTGTCATTGTTCCTTGGCGTTACCGTTCTTGGCGTTACTTCTGGCGTCAAACTGTTGAGTTACTCCATCTTTCCGTTTTACTTGCTAGGCGTTAAATAAAATAAATTTAAAAACCGCACTGATGTCATTTCATTGATGAGGTTCAGTGCTCCACTATTGTAAATTTTGGCGGATGGAATTTTTACCTCTACGGCTTGACGGACCGACGAAGTTTCCGTCGGGATTTCGTTAATCGTCATAGTTTATTAAGTATACATGTTTATTAAAACCACTGCTTTTATTATTTCTGCTATATTCTACACGTCCACGGAATATTAGGTTCAACTGACGAGTCACATATTAACGCGGAGATATCACACGGAATAGCGTTACAAAAGTTATGCTATATTTAATAGGTCGTTCGTACAGTCCCTGATTCCATAAGGATTCAATCTTCCATCAATCTTCCATCTTTCAATAAGGGATCCTGCTTCGCAATCCGATTTTCAATGTCTTGATAAGTTTACAAATTACATTTAAAAAATAACACTTCTTTTGCTTATTTTTCCATTCAAACGTCAATCCAATTTTCTTGAACATTTGCGTGCAAAAAGTGTATAGCCGACTACAAACTACGGATCAAATAGTCAGTTTCATTTTAGCACTTTAAAAAAATGTTACCGTGAGTACGCTATGAATCTCGTCGGGCTTTACAAAGCCGAACCAAATATTCGCGCTAAAATTCATTTCAAAATTAAGTCAAGTGCTACAATTCAGTCGCTCATTTCTGCGCAATGCCGTACTGAAAGTTCTAATAAAAGAAGACATTGAAATGGTTCTAGAAATCAAAAGATCCGCGTGGTCTGACCACAGACGAGCCAACACTACTTTCCAGCGAATCTCGGTCCAGCCAGCCGCATCCGCCGTGCTTCATAACGTGAATGATATTCGTTCATCTCCCAACAAACATGTTTTCTTGACTTCTCCTGAAAAGACGACGTCCGCGGTTCAGAATCCCGAACGATTCCAGCCGCTCGCGGATTGTGTCCGCATCTGCCGCGTTTATCCCGCCACATTTATTCCCGTCGGTCCCTCGAGACGCGCAAAATACCATGCAGATTCCAGAATAAGCACGATTTCTTTTGCCATTCGAGCAAGGCGATTTTTGCTGTTCCTTTGATTCCATTTCCCCAGACTTTTCATTTCATTACACCCAGCACATTTATCCTCCTTCAGCGACGGTTCAAAGGCGCGGCCGACGAGCCTGCGGGGAACGGGGCGGCGAGGAAACTTCTTTCTCTATCTTCGGTCTCTTTCGCGATTCCGTGCCACCCTCAACCCGATTCCCGCCCCTCCACCCTTCCGGTCGTCGAATTCTTTACACTTGCAAAAGTTCCGTTTAACAATCCTGCGAAGTTAGCGGGCGAGAGAAGTTTGCCTTCTCCGTGGATCTTCTCTGTCTGGCAATTACTTTTCCTACGCAAAGAACCGTCGTTGTCGGGCCAGCTTTAATATCAGCGCATCTTTAATCAGCCCCGCCTTGATTCGAATCTGCTCTGTTTCGAAAACCATCGTTTAGAAAACCGGCGTCTCGGTCTGTTGTCTCTTGGAACACATTTGTGTTAGAAGCTACGCTGCACGACAAAGAGATGAAACATCAGCGTCGGAATCTTCGAAATTCCCGTTGCCACAAAAAATTGGTTCTGCTACAACGTAGTCGCCTTCGAACTGAACGGCTTTTGGTTATTCTGTGTAAAATGTTATCGCGTTGATCAAAACGGCAATAAAAGTTGTTTGAAAGTTTCATGTAACAGTAATAAACTTCCTTTCTTTACAGCCTGTATCAAACACATGGGGTGTGAGAAATATACCTATTTTTCTTGTAATTCACAAAATGTAAAAATATACCAGACGCTGGATCAGTTTGTCTTATCCGGCGTGAACGATGGCAGCAGTGACAATAGTAATTATAGGTTCATCTTATTTTTACCTCTTTTTGATGGCTTCCTATTCTTTTTTCTATGCATCTTTTGGAAATTTTTAGTAATTCTTGCAAAATATCGTAAAACCGCTCGTGAAAAGAAATGTATAAAAAATATTTTAAATAACTAGCTCCAAATATTGCGGACATTTTGGTTGTACACGCGAGGTTTGAGCAATAGAAATAAATCTCGGCTAAATAAAAGCTTATTTCTTCGCTCTGATTGCTGCGCTCTGATGATTTCATCGTGATCGCGACGCGAACGTACCCGAATTCGCTGGTTTCCTGTGCCGTCGTCACCTTTTCTCGCAGCTAACGTTTCCTCGATGGGTCCTTCGATTCGTTTAGCTCGTGTTACCGAGCCTGCTTTCATCGACGATGGCAAAGGAGACGCGAAGCGATATTGCATTCGTTCGTCGCGCTCTTTTTCGCTGCAGTTTCTTTAGCCGGTCACGCCCATGCTCGAGCCCGGGCCCGAGCCCGAGCCCGAGACGAGACCGAGAGCCCATTTAGCCCGAGCCGAAGACACCGAGGAAAAACAGGAGAGCGTCATCGTCAAACTTCTCGGCGATCCGGTTTCTCCCGGGCCAAAGAAAGCAGGATTACGGCCGGCTTTTATTCTCTGGCTGTTTTACACGCTTACGTACTTTCGGTGATGAATTTTTTCGCCCGGACTCCCTTTCAACCGATGAATGGGCCTCCGTCGCGGACAAATTGCTCCATCGCGTATGAAAATGAACGGGCTGGAAGTGGCTGGAACCGGAGCCCGGCTCGTTTGTTTCTTCCGTTCCCCATCGATCCTTCTCTTCTTCGTCGATCCTTTCCACGCCGCGAACCTCGGGGACGGGACTTATTTTTTCGTTCGGTTAGAATGAGAAGAAATCTCTACGGTGAATCGATAATCACCGGCTGATTGGTGATATTCGAAGGCTTCGAGCTACTCGAGCTCCGGGCTCGAATGCTCTCCTAACGCCGACGCTCGCCGACCGAAGCGACTCTGCGAGGAATGATTGTTGCCTGCGTTGGAAATCCAAACAGTTCTCTGGTCTACAACCGTGGGTCGCCTAATATCAGACTTCTCCTAATATCACCGTTACAGAACTCGCGAGCAACGTAGCGGCGAAGTTTTGTTGAGGAACTAACCGTGTATTAGTTGTTCCGCCTGCACATGGACGGCGAAATCAATTAAATGTCTTGAACTTGTACGTTGTGGGAAATACGTTGCAGAAAGTTCCACCGATGATTCGATTAAATCATACCGGATTCAGTGAGACGATCCTTCCGTGTGAACAAGAATCGATATTCCACAATTAATATGGAAGAAAAATAATAATTTTATGAATTCTCTTTGTAATGTACAATGGATTGATTCATTTAATGATATTCTAATAAAATTAAGTTAATTGCAATCGTTTAAAAGCAAGGTCGATACGATAAGTGTGTAATCATTTTCATAAATACTGATTAATATAGTTGTCATTATACTGCAGATCTTTGTGCTCTTATAAATATATTTACAATGCACAATTGCAAACTTCGAAAATGCTATTAACTTATGAAATTAAGAAATATTACTATTAACCGAAATTAATCGAATTTTTCTCTCACCGAATCCTGAAAAAATCTTCTGTCGAACTGGAATAATTTAAAATCAATTTTATATTTTAAAACAGTCTCCAAAAGCATGAGTCTGTGATCTTAATGCAGAATTAAAATTTCCCAAATCAACTACAGGAAACAGAAATTAAATACGAAGATATTCCTTTTAAAGGTTTTAATTAGTCGTATAATAACTACACTGCGGATCTTTATACGAAATAAAAATTGCTTGCATCAATTGCAAGATACGCGAGTCAAACAGAAATTTCTTTCTTCCTGTAGACATTTTAATAATTTGAAATTTATACATTGATGTTCCTAAATTCATTAAATCCATCTATTGTTTTAAATTGTTCCTGATCACGTTTGTTACAAATTCGTGAAATCCGCAGTCCAGTAATAATATTTACAAATTTTTCTAATGTCTTTACAGTTTTGCATTTTATATATTTTTGTTCTAAATGCATGAATTTGTAGTGCAGTCATCACGTTAATGTTTCCGAAATTGGAAACCTTAGAGTATCTTCTTAGTATCATTTTAGGAATTTTATAACTTGTTTTTCGGAATAAAACAACTTGAAATACGCCGATAGTCATAACAACTAGCCACTTCACTTACATCACTTCAAACTTGCAACATAGTAGTGGAACGAACTCGTGTTACCTCAAACAGTTCAAACTTGCGATACGTATGTAGGAACAGAGCGGATAGAAATCGCGAGTACGAGCGTATTTCAAACTAATGACAAACTAATTTTGTCCAATTAAGTTTCAAATGGATTACGACTTCTAGTCTATACAAGGCTCCTTTAACACTAAACCTGCAAAGCTCTAAAAATAATTAACAGGTGTTGTTTTTATAATGTACGCTCAAATTATGAAATTTATTCAATCATTTCCCGTGCAAGAGTATTTATGATTTCAACAATTTTAAAATAGAAAATGTTGTCCATGTTATTAACCGAAATATTAATCGATTTCGATGAAATTTTCAATATGCATATATAAGTTATCGAGTCGCATTGTTTGTAATTTCATTATAGGCTCAGATAAAAAAGTTAAAAAACATCACTTTTTTATTTTGTTCATCATTCTAACGAATTGTAACTTTTGCAAATATTTGTTTAGATATTATCTAGTACAATAGTCCCTCTAGTATCCCTCAAAAGTGCAGTCTGATTGTTAAAAAGTTATTCCGTTCTGAAACATACTTTATATTGAAATGAAACTGATTTATTCTGTGATTTTCTAAATTTCCCCTCTTTTATATTTTTCAGCTACTTATCGGAATCGCGATACCGGTGCAGCTGTCCGGTAGAACCTTGGTTTACGGCCAAAATATACAATTCCAGTACAGTCTGCCGGACAACGCTACCTTCTTCACCAATTTCTTCGAGGGCTCGTCGCGACGACGCAGAAATGTCGATTGGAACGAGAGAACAGCTGTCTATGATATTCTCGAGAGCGAACTAGACAGGTGAGAATCTTATTCGATTCGAACTGTTCAAGTTTTGAGGCAGAAAGCCAGGATTGCTGCTTCAAAGACCGAGTTTCGTAACATTTTCTTATAGTTCCGCATTTTAACACTTTATCTATCGGCACTTTTGCAATAGTCCTTTTACGATCCGATGAAACAGTTACGGATTTTTTATAAATTTGTTAAAAAATTACAATGCTTTCATCTATAATCCACCAAATTATTTAGATTAATATAGCATTCCAAATTCTTTCGAAATAATTATTTAAAAGAAAATTATTGAGCTTCACTTTTAGACACAGTTCAGTTATTGAGAAGCTTATAAATAGGCTTCCGGTAAATAAAATGTTAAAAACTACAGCGATCGACAATCGAGTTATAAATAAGATCACTTAGGAGTGGCTGTAGCTGTTCAATCTCAAACTTAAGCGTACGGTTATAATGAAAATAATAATATAAATAATAAATATAATAATATATCGTATATAATATATAAATATAGTAATATAAATAATAAAAGTATTTAGAAGTTATTAATGTTCAATATAGAATATACATTACTCATTATGCATTATTCATCCATAAAACATCAGAAGCTATTTCAGAAATCAATAGTGCGATCATTCCAATACAAACTTAGCTATGGCACAAAATCTAACAACAACTACCCAGGGTACATAAAATAACAGCACCGTATTTCCATCGCTAATGACCGAGAAGTCGATACAGCGTTAAACGACGAAGAAGAAGAAAAGAAAACAAAAAACATATTTCACTTAATAGCCAGATAAGAATATAATACCGAGAAAAACCATTTGTTTCTTCGAAGAAACTAATTATTTGAAAGCTGTATTGAACAAGAAAAGGTGATACTTTATTTAAATGATCGTTTTTCGAATGTTTTATTCAAATAATGCTTGAGACTGAAAATTAGTAATAAATTCTAGTAGAATTATACGATTTAATTAACACCGTCAACGAAATATTTCTAGGAGGAACATCGACGGGAAGAGTTGCCTCAAAAAGAACATTTGCGAAGCAGCAGCAACGCCGCTGGAAGACGAAGGCCTAATCGGAGAACTATTACATTTACTGTTTAGGTAAGATTACATTAGCAATTAAATTGTAATTTCGTGACACAGTTACAGAAATAGACAAAAGTTGAGAACGAAAGGGAAGAAAAGAGAAATTAGTAGAATGTACAGTAAATACTTCCTAATTGACGCTCAGCTTGGAAACAAAAATGGAGAATTTGGGAAGAGAAGATACGATTAATCGAGCCTTGCTGCTCGTTTCGTTGACGATCAGCGACTATAAAAACGAGTCGCAAGTTACGAATAATCACATTTTCTCTTCCAAAATTATCCATTTTCGTTTCCAAGCTGAGCGTCAATTAGGGAGAATTTTACTGTACTATGAATGCAAATCTTCTCTAAAGCGACGTCTTACGAATCGCAATCCATCACAAGAAGCATTGTACTTGTCTTAAATTTATGACCGCTGTTATTCTCTATCTTCAATTGAACGTTTCATTTCTAGCCCAGATCATGGGAGCGAATCGAACATGGATCAAGAGTACTTGGATGCTGCTGCAGCTGGTAGGAGACATGAAGACTGTTCTATGATCTATCCCTCATGTCCTGACGGACTTGGAATTTTGGATCGAATCTCCACTTTTTATTAAAGGATCGTTTCAACATGACAGTAGATCACGACCTTTGCCAGTGTAGCATTAAACGTTCTAACTTTTTCAGTTTAGAAGTAATTCCTATCCAGGCTTCAACTGAAATAACAATCTCGCAGTTTGTTATTGCATATGTATTCATTGTTTTTAAGAAATGAAGTATATTAACTAGTAATTATTACGTTGTCATAGTGTCAGAATAACGATGGTCGTGGGCTTTTACTGTCAAATGTAAACGTATTTTGACGGTTTAAAAGCCCCGATGATATTCAATGATGTACTTGTCATTTTATAATACTCAATCCATCATTACAATATTCAGAAGTTATTAACATTCAATGTAGAATATACATGATTCAAATTTAATAACAAATTATTATTATTATTATTCATTATTCATGCAACATTTAGCGATAAATAAAATGTTTATAGCGTTTTTTGTACTCCATAAATTTAATTTAGTAAGTAAGAAAGAACCGACGTAACTTTTATCATTTATATAATAAGTAATATCATTAAAAAGGAAATATTAAGTAATAATGGCATAATAAGTAATATCATTTGTAAAAGTGTTTCAATATTTCCTTATATAATAATTAAATCTTCTATATTCTATATTGCATATACTACTAAATATAATTTTGAAGACAAGACAATGCGATTTATGGTACTTGTTGCGAAAATAATACACCTTGGTTACTTTAAAAATATGGAATCATATACGATAAATAATAAGTTATTGTAAATAAACTATTTCTTTTTATATTAAAAAAAAGATGTCTCTGTATATTTTGACTTTATATATCTGCGTTTCTCGAAAACGTATAGATAGTTTTCTTAGATAAGAAAATGTCTTAAGTGGTACGATATTGGTCTTCCTGTTTGATGACATCGTAATGCGATACCGCCATTAAACCATTTGATCACCGCGTTCAACGTGTTAATTAAGACATGGCACGCTCTAGTTCCGGATCTCATCTCCCCATTGTACACTTTATCGCATTTTTCCTTCATCTTCCATCCCGACCCAGCTGCTTCTTTCATCTCGGCCCGCGTCAGTCTTCCTTTCCGCGGGAATAAATCTTTTTCCGTCTTACGTTTCGCGTTGTTAGATCCGCATCAAGTCCTGTCTATTCCAACACTGAGCATGATTTATCGAAACCCGTTTTCTATCTGCTACGGATATCTACCGGAGATCTATAAGCTAAAAAACTACTACCTCGCTCATCTATTTCTATTATTAAACAAGATCCTACGCAACGTATACAAGCGTATAATAAAATGCTGTCGTGGCAATAATGAACTGCGAATAAAAAGCAATGGACGAAAATGAAAAATTTGAAGCGTAGATTCTAAAAGATTTATTAATGAAATTTATTAATGACAAATTTTAGTTTGTAATGTTACCTGTAAGTTGTTAAATTTGTTGTTAAATTTGAAATATGTCTTTTTAGATATATTGACAACATCCTTTAATATCGGTAAGTAATTATGATATAATAAGAAGAGACTTTTAAAATTTTGATCTTAGACGTTTGTTAAGATGGAGATTATTTGTTATAACGGTACTAAAATAAACCTTCTCATTCTTTTTATTTAGCAGCACTGATAACATTGAACTCTAAATTAACAGGTTTATTTGATTGAATTTTTCCGTAATGAAAGTAGATCATTGTAATGTTCAGTTCAAAATTCAGTTCAAAATTGGAGGTCTAAAGACGCATAGTTCAAGAATGACACCATTTAGAATCTGAACAATCGATGCTATCTGAGATTTAATGAGGTGTTAATCACAAACCTGTTGTGATCTTACAATTGAATTTTCGAAAAAAAACTAAGCATCGCGAAAATAATATTTTTCATAGGATTAAAATATGTACATCTTAATAATTATTATATGCTAAAAGATCGCTTTTCAACACGATGTAATCAGTTTTGATAACAATTGATCGATTTTTATCATCGAGGTTCCCTGAATAGAATTCTGGATAATCTACGGAAGATTATTTTTACACCATTATTTAATACGGATATTTATGAATGTGTGCCAAAAATTTCATTGTGCTTGGTTGAAGCGAAAATTTTTATTCTAGTCCTTGTTGCGACGATATTATCCCGGTGCGCGACGTTGAGGAATATACTGGGGTGCTCGTGTTTTATGCAGTGCTGAAGTTAAGTCCCTAAATACGGTCTTAAGATGAGCCATTAGACGCCGGAAGAGCGGCAAATAATTTCTTATTAAACACCGGTTTACCGTTGTTCGGGCTCCGCGGAAGGCCTATTCGAGACCCGACCCGAGCCGGTTTAACAGGTCGGTGAAGTCACTCTAATCGATGGTAACTAACTGCAAAGGTACCAATTGCCGGCTGACAGACTGGCCTGACTCCCGGGAATTATTCCGTCGCCGATTCCGCGAGAACGGTCTTGTCGCGCGAGAAGTGTAGCTAAATGCATTTGCCCAAGTTTAATGAACTGTCTTGTTCGATAAGTACCACCCTAACCGATTACAACCTGGCCCTTGTCGAATCGATGCTTCGACGATGTCCGGTTAGAGCCGACTTTCGAAACTCTGAACAATGAAACATGCTCGCATTCCCGTAATGCGTTCACAATCCACTCTGTGCTGTGGCAATCGAATGATTTGCTGGAATAAGTACAATTTCATTCAATTTCGCATGCTTCATAGAAAGAACTCCTTCAATTCAGAATTAAGAGAATTATTTCTTAACAGATGTGTAGATTTTTGGATAGCGAAGCTCAATTTAGAAGGGTAGTCTGATTTCGAATGCCATTTTTCAAAGAATTGTTAAGGATTATTTTTAAAAGGACTGTTGAACTTCTTGCATTAAATTTGGCACATATATTTATGGGTATTTGAAGTACATAATCAATATTTTTGAAGTGAACATAATTAAAATTACATGAGATATGTTCTGTTTTATTGAGTGTTTTACGAAAATTGTATTGATTGTTAACCATGATTTTTTGATATTTTTGATGTAATTCCTTGATCCGAATCAAGGTAGTACAGTGATCTTGATTACATACAAAATATCAGCAGTTTGAATTACAATTGTCGATTTCATAAATATTTTTTTGTCTTTAGCATGTTGAAAAGAAGCAGCAAAAAACTGACGGATAATTAAAAATTCTGATTCATGCTCTGGAAATTTCAAATCAATTGATCAATTAAAACTTTAGACGTCGAGATTTACCCTTGACAACCATTCGGAAGTGTGTATACGTATTACAAACATTTATAACATCATTAATTTTACGAATTAGCAAAAAATCACTTTCAAAACATGCATAAAATCAAGATTTTTTAAGGTTCAAAAACAGAATACATACCCCTTTAAGCCTGACGTTGAACCTATGCAAATCACTTTCAATTTTACGGACTTCGCACTGTCGTATGCCGGAAGGCCTACGAAAAAGATTCTCTCATGTGTTACAACTACGCTTGACACGATAACGAATTGTAACTATGCTAACTTGCAAATGCGTGTACATGAACATTACTGCGAAACAAAAAGCGGTCCAGCTTCTTAGTTCTCCCATCTTCAAGATATTTACGATGTCCCTTTCATAGTACCTTTCAATCGAGAAGGATTTTAAGGGGAAGAAGTAGGACGTTGCCAAAGATATAATATATTATACAGGGTGTCCTAAAATTATGATATTTCCGGAAAATGAGGAGTTCCTGAGGTGATTTGAAGTAACTTTTTCCTTTACAAAAATTTTTTCCGGAGCATCGTTTACGAGTTATTGAGGGAAAACAATGACCAATAAGGGGCGAGCTCACCTGGTGCTAGGCGGCCGAGCCAATAAGCGGAACTGGGCTTCGCGCGCTCGTTGGCTAGGCCGCTTCGCGCCAACCGAGCTCGCCTCTCATTGGTTACTGTTTTCCGTTAATAACTCGTTAACGATGCCTCGCAGAACATTTTTGTAAAGGAAAAAGTTGCTTCGAATGACCTCAGTAATCTCTAATTTCCCGGAAGTACCATAATTTTAGGACACCTTGTAGTGTATGAGAGTAAAGATACACGAATATATAAATCGATAAATTGCCGCCAGAATACCTGACTACAATCAGGGACGAGAAAAATGGTCAGAAGTTGCTAGGGCACGATGCGGAAGTTTAGAAAATTATAATATATATAGTAATTAGAGCAGGGCTCGGAATTAATCAGCACGCAACATGCGGATCACGAGGACTACGCCCCCTGACTCGCCTCTTTCGGCACAGAACACCTCAGGCGCTCTATGTTTGTGTTAAGCCAGTGCTCGAAATGGTTGGACACGCAACATGAAGCTCCACCTTCTGACTACCGCCGCAGCGCCTCACTCCCCGCGTTGTGTGTCCGACTATTCCGAGCACCAGCCTAACACAAACACGGAACGCCTGAGGTACTTCGAGCCAAAAAGTGGCGACCACGACGAGCGAGACGCGCGACAGGAGTCAGGGGGCGTAGCCCTCGCGACCCTTATGTTGTATGCTGGTTAATACCGAGCCCTGGATTAGAGGATAGGGAACGTGGATTTGAAATATGTAATTATGGCAGAGGTATGGCTTCACGTTGAAGCATCTGTTAGTGGATTGTCATGGTTTTGAAAGAAGGACGTGTACGTTAACGGAGAAATTTTGCAGAAAGAAAGGCAGAAAAATAATGGTCTGGTTACAGAAAGTAGATTATAAATATAAGAAGGCAAGGAAAAAGTAGAGAGGGTAAAGAAAATTGTATACCAAGTCCATTCCTTGGTCTTGAAGCTAAAATGAACAATAAACAATAATAATAATAATAATAACAATACTTTTCAGTCCGATTAGATCGCAACAAAATTGTAAAGAAATTTGAAAGACTAGGATGTCAGATGGTTCCATTTTCATCCAAGGAACGTATACGGATTGGTTAGAGTGCAAGGGAATAGTACCACTCGAATATGTTACGTGCAATTATGTTGCCTGGTAACGTGTGAGAGTATTGATAGTGGCAATAATAATAACAATCAATGTTACGGTGGGTCAGACGTGTCTCGTGGATCGATAGACAAATCACTTCTAGGTTCTAGCATGTACCGACTCGTCCGATACCTCAGACGGCGGAGTGTTGGTCGTAAAATGACTCGAGGGGGAGAGAAAGCAAGAAAAGGGCGAGAGGAAGAGAGCGAAACATAGATAGAGACAGGGAGGAGAACGCAAGATCGCTTCGTGTTCCAGGCAGTTTAGTAGTTTACCGAGGAGAGTCTCGGTATTCGAGCGAGAGGTACTGGCACGTTCCATATTTCAGACAAAGGAGAATCTGATGCTTTGGGCCGGAGAAATTCATCGTGTCTCGCGTTTTCGACAGAGACTAGCGCTTGCGTCCCAGACAAATTGTAGCCGTTTAGCCAAATTCAGTATCTCGCAACGAAGGCGCAGACAATGGGGGAGCATGTATTAATGAGTGGAAAAGGAGGAAGTGATAGAGCGAAAAGACAGGGGAATAAACGATTAGACAAACACAGGATGAAATAAGGAAACGTGATATCTGTTTCGACAGAAATTCGATTAATTTACCGTTGTCATCAATGTCTATTATATTAGACTTTACGTTCTATCCCATCAATTGTCTCTCATCGCGTAACTCAGTTGCTATTATTATCAGTCTTATTGTTTGAAATCTATTTGAAAATAAAAGACTTAAACCAAAATACGTTTCGCAACTTCTCCGATTGGAACATGAGCCAACAATAGTCGTCTCGGAAAGTACGTCAACGCCTTTTCAAACTTAATATAACTTTTTTAAAATTGATTCGAAGAACTTGAATATTTTTTAGATGTTAGATCGTCTAGTTTTCCATGAAATGTGTATACAAAAAGTTTTTTAGACTGCAATTCATTGGAATGATAAAAAAATTAAAAAATGATGTTTTTCAATTTTTTTTGTCTGAGCTCATAATGAAAGTTAAAAAAAAAATACATTTTATAGATCTCGACAACTTATATGCATACTGAAAATTTCAAAATACCATTTTGATAAAAATTAAGTTCATCTACTAGATAAACTCATATATTAATTAACAGAGCTCTTCGTTCAGAGAAGAAAACAGCCTCAGGCATTTCGTACGATTCCGAAGCAAAAATATTAATATAATTGTTGCGCATTACATGATACTTTTGAATACAACGAAACCTCGAAAAAAGAGGTTTATTAAAACTGAGAATTTAAATTCGCAGTTCAGTCATAACTACATCTTTGGACGTAGACTGTAGATTCTTATATAAAATAGCTTTTTGAAATTCTTAAAATTTGTTTACTCTTTTAGTATATTTGATGTATTCAGCTTCGTCATAAATGAGTTAAATCCGCTAGCGATGATAATGGAGGGAAATGGAATCGGATGATACTGACAAAGGTACACTTCAGACAGCAAGGGGTTAAATGAAATCGAGAATCTTCGGTTCGAAAATAGCTGACTCCGCTCATGCTAATTGATACGACTGAACATTTGTGGGCGAGGGAACCCATGAACGCTGGAAGCGGAAGGAAGAAGTGGCAATAGTGGGGTCGAGAGAGCACCGTTATCGATATCCCAAGGCGACGCGACCGAGCTCGAACCGATCCGATCTCGTCGGACGAGGACATTTCTGGCGAGAGACAGTTCGCGCGATCTATAGGCCACGCGGGTAGCGTCGCGAGAGAGGACATCTTGGCTCAGGGCCTGACATCCGCTGATTATGCGTCTGTTGTTCTGGAGCATCCTCTGTTTCGGCCTCGTTACCGCGAGCGAATTCGTGGACGCCGGCAGAGCCAGCCGATCCTTGGCATTCCGGAAGGGCAGCTCCTTTTTCGTGAGTATCTCTGCCAAGTGCTTTTAACCCGGACGGTAATCGAATCGCGTATACGGCTAGCCTATAGAATCCTTGATCCTGATCATTGTCCGTTGCGTTAGCGCTCGTGATCCTGCTCGGAACACGCGATATCGTTTGCGCAACGCGTATTACCAGGGGCTTGAAATCAGAGTTATTTGACAAATTTTTAGGACAATATCATAGTGTCACGGCAGAGGAAACGTTGCTATAGCGATCGAAAGGTCTCCTGTAACAAGATTCATGACTTAAAGTAGGATATCAACTATGATATCCAATTCTTGCCTATTTCTAAGATATTTAATTCATTTATTTATTTATTGGTGCTTCAAACCAAATAGTCTATTTTAGCAGATACAATATTGTACACGTAGCTTTTATTACATAGATATTGAATAGTTTCTAATTTCTTACGGAACGTCGTTTAAGAAAATTGTACATTATTCTTAGTCCTTCTAATATCTGGAGTACGAAAGAAGGAACTAATAATAAGAGGATGAAGGAATTAATAATAATAAAGAGGAATAATAATAAATATACAATAATAATAAAGCATATAATAATAAAGAGGAAAACGGTGATTGCCTTTGAGAAGCTTCGTTTCTAATAGAACACGTTCGTTCTTATTGAAATTCTGCTGTGCGCACTAGCAAGCAATTTTAGCTACAAAATTAACTCTTATCATTTATATTATAATAACCGCAACGATAGCTATTAACGCTTTGCACTGGAGCAGTAACACCGATGAACCACTAAAAATTGTTATATGATATTAAAAAAATTTTACTTTATCGTTTATATTTGAAAAAGCTCTTACAAATGTAACATTTCTATGAGTCACAAGACTCAATTTTGTATACAGTAAATGAAATAAATCATGTAAAATACTGTAATACTGTAGGTGAGAAAAACTATTTCAGATTTAGGGTTAAAATGGCTTCGAGTGGAAAGGATTAACAAAAAACCATGGCAATACAAATCAATCTCTATCAAATTTTAACAAATTTTATTGATTAAATCAACATTCTTATCGATTATTAATTCTCTCAGTCATTATATTAACTTGATAGGAAGGACAATTAATTTAATACCCTTTCACCTCAATAAGAATAATAATCATAATAATAAATACAATCAAAATAATCAATACAATCCAATTTTAAAAACTCTGCATTACTTTTCAAGATGTTGAAATTAAAATCGTCGTACTAAATTTTACATTCTCATTTTACAATTGTAGCTAAATATTACAAAATTTGTGATGTCCGCAACTTATGAATCGTGGCCAAATTTTTGGGAAAAGATACCACTGTTACAAATCTTAAATATTAATATTTACATAATTTTTCTATTTTCTTTTCGTTTCTCTATTTATCTTTGTTTTCGTCTAATTCTTAGGACGCATCTGCATAACAAATAAAACAAACCCGCGACTTCATATAGAAAAATCAAAAAATCGCCCTCGATTAGAGGGTTGATTCAGAGGCAATTCGGAGAAAAGCGTTTCATCAAAGAAAATAAGATTTGCTAACAGCATGGTGTGCGGAACGGTATCGATTCGCAGGTGATCTGAAATTCAGCCGCAGTCTCGTGCATTAGGAAGGGGTGTGTGGGGCAGATGCAGGCGGCGGCTGCGGCCGTATCGTCGGTGCTGGATCGTGTACTTGCCGGTAAGTGCACTGGATCATCGGTAGTCGCGTAATTCTTCAGTTCTCCGAGCGGAGACGGGCGGAGACGAGAGGAAACGGGCGGAAGTGCAGCCTACCGATAACGGCGCTCCGTTCCTCTTCGCTCGGCGCGGCGCGAAGTCGTACGCCCTCGCGATCAGGTCCCATCTGGTGCATCCTGTCGCTCCGAAAATCATAAACAATTACGAACGTCAAACTCCGTTCGGGCAACTCCGGGGCACGCCTTTCAGGAAATTCTCCGTCTCGTTCTCTCCGCGAGACCGACTTTATTTCGTCGCCCCCTGAATCTTTCAATGCTCTCAGCCCCGGCCCGGTCCCGTCGCCGTTCCGTCCCGGGACCACGGAAATTGTTTGATCAGTACAATAGAATAGAAACCGTGCTCTTCGCGGAAACGTCAGCGCCACGGTCCCGAAAGAATCAGTCAATGTCAATGTTTGACCGTTCCCGAAAACGGGAGCGGTGCGACGGCGACTCACCTGTCCTCCCACACCTGGCCACCGTCACGGAACCGCACGAAACGGAATCCGCGCCGCCCGAAGATAAACCGAATCGAATTTACCTAACCAAAACGGTTTGCGAAAACTGGGAACTGTTGGACGAAGTTTCGGGATGAAAATTCAATTTTGAGTTTCTACGATTCATTTATACATACTTTCGCTAATTAATTCGTTCGGTGCTCTTCAGAAGTAGTTGCGAGCAAAACGCTTCCGTAGTTTTCATTCATTTTCATTTGATTAGATTGATAATTGTGGTTTCCATCGTTTTAACCTCTCACGTTTTTCTTTTTAGGAGAAATTGTTATTTAAACGTATACTTGTGCTACGCCGTCATTAAACAAACAGTTGGCTTCATTCATTTATGCAGACATTGCTTACGTTGTTGCTTAGTTCCAGCGATATTATTAATATTTTACATTAAAAAGTTTAACTCTTGCTTTCCTTTCCCTATTCGATTGAATCTCGCACATCGGGTACATACATACATCTGCGAGAATTTTCAGTAAAAAACGCGAAGAAGTTTCGAGTACTATTTTTTTACTATTTTTTCGAGTATTACTTCATATTAGTAATATGTTATGAAGGAAATAAAGAGATCAAGGAAAATTAGAAAACAGGAAATAAAAAGGTCAAAGGAAATCAAGATCAGAACGAAGAGTATGCATCAAATGAATCTAACGACGAAAAAGGAGAAGAAAAATGTCACTGTCTTGTGGGCATTGAATTCTTTATATAATACATGCAAATCATGTGTCAACTGGTTTCCAGTTTTCCTTTCCTTCATTTTTTACCCGTTTAACAGTGGCGCCCGTGTACATCACGGGCACGCTAAGTTGACAAAGGATAGCTTTAAACCGCACGAACTTTATTCATTTCGAAACTATGTTTCATTTCCTATGTTTGCGCAAGAGCTTCTACCACAAGAAATACGAATGACGCCAATTTTCTCTTCAGAATTATGTAAACATTTAAAAACTGATTTCTAATTCTGGAGTGAAATGCGTAGATGAAAATTATTATGCGTTAACGTCGCATCGACTACTCGGTTATTAATAGACTGCGAATTTTCGCGCATTTACGGCAAACGCAAGGAAACTGACAAGAAGTAATTGCATTCTTGCTATATTTTTCAAATGAAAGAAATTTTTGTCTAATTCTAATCTTTCTAAAATAACGATCCGCAGTCTAGTCATCAACAAAGAGTTGTACTTATTGTTAAATGTTATCCGATATGTTTATAGATTTTATGAATCTCGAAAGGTTTTGCTTTGTATTTTTGCTGTAAATTTTTCATTCAGTCAATTGGAATTTTGGATCTGTCGCATAACTCATTAAATATCACGCATTTTGAAATTATATGTTGGATTAAGATCGATAAATATTTCAATTTTGAAGAGTTAAATTTGTGTTATCATCAACTTTACACGGTGTTTTGACCGACCAGAATATAACCAGAACCAGATCTGTACCTTACAATGGATATTACTTGACTGTTTTTATAGCATTATGTTTTAATAACATAATAGAGCTCTTGCTTGTACAGTACATTCCCGTAGAACACGAGTTCCTACGACGCAAATTCCCATAACGCACTAAAAATTGTATGGCGACCGTTATCATATAATACAATTAGTACATGTAAAAACGAACAACCAATTACACCGGGACGACGGCATGTAACTTTGGACGATTCGCACAGTGATCAATAAACTGCAGATCTTTATGCAAAATAGAAATGGTCTGGATCGATTGCAAGAAACAGGTTCCAGATAGACATTCAATTCTTACTTTCATAATTTTAATAAGTTCAAAATATTACCTTGATAGTTTTCAATTCTTTGAATTCGTCCACTGTTCGAAATTGCATCTACTCATTTTTGCTTCAAACGCATAAAATCTGCAGTCTAGCGATCAACGATCAGCGCTACAGTGTTTTCCCGAGTCCGTTCAATTAATTATTACTACGTAAATTACGTATTTCGTTGTATTTATATGGAACAAAATCTTTTGTTCATTCATAACAGGAACATTGTTTGTCTTAACACATTGCGGACGGAGCTCTGCGCGTTCAACACGCCCTCAAAGCTGTCTCTTATACACATCTTCTCGTTTTTAGCAAATTGAACGTTGCGGACGGGTCACGAGATATCTCGTTTTCATGTTTTTTTTATTTAATCGGCAACAAGCAACCAGCCGCAAATATTTCTGTTACGTAACCATGGTACTGTCTCTTATACACATCTTCTCGTTTTTAGCAAATTGAACGTTGCGGACGGGTCACGAGATATCTCGTTTTCATGTTTTTTTTATTTAATCGGCAACAAGCAACCAGCCGCAAATATTTCTGTTACGTAACCATGGTACTGTCTCTTATACACATCTTCTCGTTTTTAGCAAATTGAACGTTGCGGACGGGTCACGAGATATCTCGTTTTCATGTTTTTTTTATTTAATCGGCAACAAGCAACCAGCCGCAAATATTTCTGTTACGTAACCATGGTACTGTCTCTTATACACATCTTCTCGTTTTTAGCAAATTGAACGTTGCGGACGGGTCACGAGATATCTCGTTTTCATGTTTTTTTTATTTAATCGGCAACAAGCAACCAGCCGCAAATATTTCTGTTACGTAACCATGGTACTGTCTCTTATACACATCTTCTCGTTTTTAGCAAATTGAACGTTGCGGACGGGTCACGAGATATCTCGTTTTCATGTTTTTTTTATTTAATCGGCAACAAGCAACCAGCCGCAAATATTTCTGTTACGTAACCATGGTACTGTCTCTTATACACA